TAAATTCCGAAAAGAACGTGATAATTCCGCCTCCCTTCCGACCCCCGGCAGATTCTACAGATTCAATAAAGAGAAACGAGCTATGGCAGATAATGCAAGAAAACGGTTTTTCGACAATGTTACTTATGACCGAAAGCAATGTTCAGCATGAATTGTGAGAAGAGCTCCAGATGGATTTTAAAGTGAGTTCAGAGTTGAATTTATTAGTTGTGCTGAGGAAAATTCCATGAAACTATTTCTGGTACATTTATAATGAAAACTCCAAATTAGTTCTGTGAAAATTTTCTAGAAAGTTTTGATGATAATTCAAGAGAAATCTCGAGAGTATTGAATTTTCATTATACACTCAATTGGGTTCTGCAATTATAACAAATATTTCGATTACCATACAACATCTGAAAGAGCCGAGGAAAGAGCTTCGTTTTCTGAGCACAACGATATTTTTTCGATCCCATTTACTTCCATCTCGATTTTTAAATCAAGAATTATAACAAAATCCCCACTTCACTGTTTGAAACAAAACAAACAAATTGACAGCTTTCTCCCATACAAAGTACCACCAACAATCAATTCGAAACTAACGATTTTAAATTGGCTCACTACTTGACTAGCCTATTGGTCCCAAGCAAATCGATTAACGTACCCCATTCTAGTATAAATTCCAGTACTACACTATGTTTGTTTTGATTCGCTTTGAAAGTTTGACAGATACAATGAGGTGCATGTTTCGAGGGGTGCACCGATTAGCTTGGGACCGAAGATAGTACCAGAGCTGAGCTAAAAAGTTGAACTCGTTTCTTCGGGACCTTCGGCTCTTAGAGTTACCTCTATGGTACCACCGAGGGGCACTAAGATGGTGATTTTTGCATATGTTATCATACTTATTTAAAATAGTTCCAGCAAAAAAGAATACTACACTCATAAAATATATCACATAACCAGTGGAAAATATCCATGGGAATTTCACATAACTTTCATAAGATCCCATAATTGGAAATTGCACCACTAAATCACATGAAAATTATGTGTCCAATGAAATCTATATGATTTCTCATATAGAATTTCATTTGATATGTGATATTCAGATAACAATCATATTTTTATAATTGGAAAAATATTATGTGCGTTCCTAATAGAAACTAAGTGAAAACTTTTTTCAGTGTAAGATGAAACAACCGGAAGAAAATCTTTTTATTTTAGTGCCTCGACTACTCATCGATTATTTTTTGTACGCTGTGCTGTAATTTTTCCACAAATGAGAGTAGAAACGAGAGTGCAGAACATTTGTGAAACAATGGGTGATGTTCCTCTGGAGATGTTAATGCTTATATCTGCATGATATCACCGACGAACCGACGTGACCACTCATAGAAGCCACATTGAAATTCTTGCCCAAGACGCCATATTTAAAATACGTTGAACACAACCGCCATCACTTCTCATCCGATCGCGTCATATCATGAGCAAGAGCAAGAACACACGATACATTTATATTGACTTTGTTTGCGTCTCACCTCGTTTGATAGATCTGATCGCCCGTTTGTTAGATCGAATCACTCATTTGACAAATCGAATTGTGGATGCACGAAATGCTCTAGTGGCATGTCGGTTCGTCGGTGATGATATAACCTATAAGGCTATCCAATGTCCATGAGACAGTTGCGATCAGCTGACTTTTTTGTTTACCAAGAACTTTTGACAGATCACAGTAGAACCATAGAGGTAACTCTAAGACCACTGGGTCCCGAAGAAACTAACGTACCCTATTCTAGTTGAAATTCTATTACTACACTATGTTTGTTTTGATTCGCTATGAAAGTTTGACAGATAACATCAGGGGTGTGTGGATTCATGCAGAACATGCAGGGGTGAGTGAAATAGCTTGGGACTGCTTGGGACCGTTGTTCTGGTACTGAGTGAGCCAAAAATAATAATGATTTGCTTCGGGACCCAGTGGTCTTAGAGTTATCTCTATGGTAGAACCAACAATCAATACGAAACTAACGATTTTAAATTGGCTCACTACTTCACTAGCCTATTGGTCCCAAGCAAACGATTAACGTACCCCATTCTAGTCGAAATTCTAGTACTATACTATGTTTGTTTTGATTCCCTATGAAAGTTTGACAGATAAAATGAGGGGTCATAGATTTTCTTATGTTCCGAGGGGTGCATCGATTAGCTTGGGACCGAAGATAGTACCAGAGCTGAGCCAAAAAGTTGAGCACGTTATTTCGGGACCTTCTGGTAGAACCAAGTAGAACTGGCAGTTTATTCTAATATGAGTTTCTGCTATGTTTATGTTTACATTCAGCACTATTAATCATTGGATCACTCACACACTCTAGATTTCTAGCTGTCAGTTCCTCTGAGAAACGTCTCTTGGATCACCTTATTACAAATATTTTACTTTTCGGTTCGTTAATCTATTAATCGATTATTGGAATGGAAATCGGACATCACTAGATGAATGTGAAACGTGATTTCAAATATAAGGACCGTTCATAAATAATGAGACAACTTGAAAGAAACCGGGACTAATTACAAAATGGTTATTTTGCTTAACGTGTTTGGGGTATCATCCAAACAATTTGTGGAAAAGTTCTACAATCTGGGTTATCGTTCGTTTGTCGTATTTGTTTATTAGGGCGGTTGCTTCTCTGGTCATTCATGTCGGTTTGTCGGTGTCCCTATTTCCAATGCTGTGCATTTCTGCATCTCCAACCTGCACAGCAAACATGTTATCGATGTAAGATGCTACGAAAAGCTCTTCCACGTGTGTCCTTAGTTCTAGCTTATGTGTATTGAGCAATCACGTCTCCACGAGGTAGTTGATTCAACAACCATCGCAACACCCATAATCATCGTGAAAGGTATCAAAGGCTGGGGTTTTGAGTGGTTCGCTATCATTTTCACGCTTGTTAATGATAATGGCTACGATCGGCCGTTCGAGCTTTCGCCCCATTCGCTTTCAGTGTGTGTGAGTGTGTGTGGTGCAACCCCATTAACACAGGAAAAATCGCGCCATTCCCAGAGTTCAGAGGACGCCTTTATCACCGCACCGACGCCGACGACGCCGTTTGGTTTTGTTTGGCTAGGGGTGAGATAAATTTACACTTGTCCTCGTCCTCAAGCTCATCGAAAGCGGCCTTACGACGATGGAGATGCAGCAAGAAGACGCACACGGAAGCGCTCGTTTATGGTTTCCAATTACCAACCTACCTTACGGTGAGCAAACGCAATTTATGACTTTTACGCATGTTTTGGAAGATTTTTACAGCTTTTCATGGCTGGCTGGGGTTGCACAAAATTGGATCAAAAGCAATTCGACGACACGGTGACGATGACGGTGGTAATGGTCCTTGTTGACGCAGAACGTTAATTTTTGAAGGCTTAGGTCGTAGCTGCCAGGTCTCGTTTGAGAATATGTTAGTGAATCTGCGCGCGGAGGAACATTGTCTTTCTTTCAATTTCTAATGGCATCGACATTTTACGGCAAATTGAGGTTAATATTAATTTTTGTAGCTAACGATCCTTGCAAATTTAATGAGATTCGTTAAATAATCTTGATACTGACATTATCAAGTTTGGTAAATAAAAACAATAATTTGAGAAATGAATGGTAAACAATTTTGCCGATGGTTTGGCAAAATTTTACAGTTGTTGAAAATTTCTAGGGGCACGCAATAACCTTTAACTCCAACGCAGGCAACGGCTGTAATTAACTTATAAAATTAACTACTGCTTTAATTACATCAATTGCACAATGTAGAACATTAACTAATTTTTAACTCCATTAATTACAGTTGAAATTTCGTAACTAAAGTACATTAATTAAATTTTCAATACCTTCAATTACATTAATTATGGATATATAATTTTAATTTCCGTCAGTACTACTTCAAAACGCATTAATTACTTTAAGTACCACCCCTATTCTGCATTTCGTTCAAAACGAAATTCTCATACAAAAAAAAAAAAATGTTTATGAATTTCGTTTCGAACGAAATACAAAATAGGGGTGTACATTTGATTGCATTTTAACTTCAACGCACCGGTTCTTTGTATTGCGTGCCCCTCGCGAATTTGTTCTCCGTGCACCCACTCGTCAACGAGCTCGTCAATGGGTAATACTAAAGAACCTGAATTTATAAAGAGACGACATCTTCTGCTTGTTATTGTTCAGACGAACTAGGCTGAAGAGCGACGAGTGGAGCGAGAAGATTTCGCTCGGTGGAGAAGCTTGTAGCGGCATGGCAACGGTGCTACGTTCTTCAAGAACTGCTGGATCAAGCTGATCAATGGCTACTTCAGCATTCTCGGGCCAGTAACTTCTACTTTGGTGTAACCAGATGGGACCTCTGAACCAACTGTTCTGGTATTCGAGCTGTGTGGCTGATATACCTCTTGAGAGAACGTCGGCTGGGTTCTGTATTCCTGCTACGTGGTTCCACACTCCTCCTTCTGTAAGATGTTGGATCTCGGACACCCTATTTGCAACAAAAGTCTGCCATCGCGCGATGGAGTGGAAGCAATCCAAAATTTGACAATGTTGGAGTCCGTCCAGAAATACGAGGGAACTGCCAGTTGAGTGCTACGACGCACCTTTTCATATAGATGACTGAGTAACAGAGCGGACGAGAGTTCTAGACGGGGCGTAGACTGCTTGCGTTTCTTCTTTTTCAAATCCTCCAGCGGCGCTACTCTTGACTTCGATATCATTAGCTGGACTTGAACCGATCCATCAGCGTACGTGCATCGAAGATACAAGCAAGCACCGTAAGCGCTATCAGAGGCGTCGCAGAACCCATGCCATTCAATAGATGTGCATTTCTTGCTATACCCAACCCATCTGGGAATGGTAATGGATTCTAAGGCACTGAGATTCCTGCGATACTCCAGCCAAAAGGTTTGCAAGTTTTCAGCGAGCGGCTCGTCCCAACTCATTTACAGTTTCCATAACGCTTGGATAAAGATTTTGGCTTCAACAACGACAGGTCCTATAAGACCCAAAGGATCGAATAATTTGGACGCATCAGAGACGACGGTTCTTTTCGTAACGGTTGGGGTGGGATTCCATTTGGGAACGGTGAAGCAGAAGTTATCGGTTGTCGGACTCCAGAAAAGACCCAAAATTTGACGGTAGCGGACGATGCAGGCGAATCCATGTCAAATACCGCCCGTTCATCTCGTAGATGTGATGGAAGCTCGCTCAGAACTTCTTCGCTATTCGAATTCCACTTGCGCAAAGGGAATCCAGCTGAATTGGTCAGATTGACCATTTCCTCGACTAACCTTCTTCCTTCCTCAGGATCATCTACCCCAGTGATCATATCGTCAACGTAGAAATCTTTCCGCAGAATGTTCACAGCGATTGGGTGTGTTGATTCTCCATCTTCTGCTAACTGTACCAAGCAACGAGTCGCTAGAAAAGGAGCCGATGCTGTACCGTACGTAACGGTCGTCAGTTGGAAAATCTCGATTGGATCATCCGGGGATTTCCTCCACAGAATCAGGTGCAACTTCTGATCGAGCAGGAACATCTTAATCATCCGGTACATTTTGGCTACGTTTGCTACCATTCCGATGCGATGTAAACGGAACCGTGTGTGAATAGAGATAAGATCATCCTGGACTACAGGGCCAACCATCAACCCATCGTTGAGTGAGAATCCCGATGTAGTTTTGCACGAAGCATCGAATACAACGCGCAGTTTCGTTGTTGTGCTATCCGGTTTCAACACGGCATGGTGCGGCAGGAAATAGCACGCTGACTCGGACAGATCTTCTTCTCGTACCTTCTTCATGTAGCCCATCGACAAATACTCCTCCATGAACTCGCAATACAGCTCCTTCAACTGCGGATTGGTAACGAATCGCTTCTCCAAGCTTGCAAATCGTTTCTCAGCGCTACGCCTTGAATCTCCCAAGCGTTCAATGATGTGCTCCTTCTTGGGCAGCGACACCACAAAACGTCCATCGTCGTCACGAACAGTGGTCTGCTTGAAGATCTCCTCGCATGTAGACTCTTCCACGGAATATGTGCTCTTGACGTGACAACTCTCGAGCTCCCAAAAACGAGTCAGGTGTTCTTGAAGTTCAGTTATTGAACACAGCGTTGTAGACGTTTTGGGAACGGAAGACCGGAAATCGAATACACGCCCGGACACGATCCATCCAAAAACGGAGTTTTGGAAGGTAGGGCCATCCTCGTTTAGCCTGAACCTTCCTTCGCATAACAGATTCATGTAGTGTTCTGCGCCGATTATCATGTCGATATCCAATGTCTGGTAGAAGTTGGGGTCTGCCAACACCATATCCTCGGGTAGATTCCACTGGCTAATTTCGACCTCTTCACTCGGGAGTGGAATAGTCAGTTTCGGGAGGACGTTGAACTGCATCACTTCTTCGTAGTCTGAGATGCTGGTGAAGCGAGGGCTGATCATGCCGCAGACAGCGTTTTTCGATACAATTCCTGAACCCCCAATACCTTTCACTGACAAATAGTCCGGAAATTGCTTGAGTTTCATCCGTCGACAGAAGTCGGATGTCACGAAGCAATACTGGGAGCATGAATCAAGCAACGCTCCGGCTAGCATTGTGCTTCCCTGGCTATCACACACATGTACCATAGCGGTTGACAGAAGAACTTGGCGTGTATGTGATCTTGTTTGTGTTGGAAGTGCTACGGTATTTTGTAATGTGTTGGATCGGTCTGTGGCAGGCTGTGGGTTAATGCAATGCGATTGTGTATTGACGATTGGTAGTGAAGTGGATGGTTCGTGTTGGTTTGTGGTTGGTGCTGTTTGCTGTGTTGGTGATCATGATTGTGCTTGCTGTGTATGTTTTTGATATTCACTTGAGGGTCGTTTTGTCGTCTGTGGAACGGAGGATTTTTGGTAAGCACTGTCCGAATCCGTATGAAGCAGGGAATGGTGTTTCCTTCCACACTGACGGCAAAATCCTTTGCTGCAGTTCCTTGCCAAGTGCCCTGATGACAAGCAGTTGATGCACAATCCGTTCTTCATCACTGCGTCATAACGCTCCGAGATCCTCATCTTCTGGAACCGTTTGCACACGAATGCAGAGTGGAATGATTCGGAGCAAAAGCAACACCTATTAGTGGAGGAGGTCGACGAATGACTCACACCAATCTTCGGTTTCCTGAATTCAGCAGGGGTGGGCTTGCACGACCCAACGGATTGAAGTACGGCGCAGTGGTTCTTCAGGAAGTTCACTAGGTTTCTGTAGGTCGGTACTTCCTTCGAGTTATGTGACGTCTCCCAGAGTCGAAGAGTCACAGGGTCGAGCTTCGAACACACCATGTGCACCAGAATGGTACTCCAACCTTCGGTTCTCTCCTCCATTTTCTGCAGCATTTGGAGATTCTTTTCGAAGTCACTGACGATCTGGCTGAGTGATTCGAAACTCTCCTTCCTCATTGGCTCAATTGCGAAAATGGCATCCAAGTACGCTTTCACGATCAGCTTCTTATTGTGGTACCGATCTTCCAGTGCATTCCAGGCCACCTCGTAGTTTGCAGCAGTCCCAAGTAACAATTTCCAGTTGAAGAAACGCTTTCGCTTTGATTTTGTTCAGCTGCATGTTGAATAATAATTGCACAATGTGTTCACCACAACTTTTATAAAACCCTTGTTTACACTGGTTTGGAGAACCTATACAACTGCAACACAAAGGTGTTGTCTAACGTATTCAGTAAAACGTTTACCCAAAATCAATTTCTTGTTGAAGAAACGCTTCCATTGTGACTTTATTCAACTGCATGCTGAATAATAACTGTACAATTTGTTTATTACAACTTCTGTAAAACTCTTGTTTACACTGGTTTGGAGAACCTGTTCAACTACAGCATTATATGTATACGCGGTATAGGAGTAGAAGCAACTTTTATACAACGTTTATAGATACATATTTAAAGTCAAGCTTTATTGTTTTGGTGAAAGCTCTTATACAACGTTTGTAGACACTTCCTGACAGCTGCTTTGAAATTTAGTAGAGAGTAAACCTGAGAGGCGTTTGTTGCACTCTTTTATGACTCCTAAATAATCATTGTACAGCAAGCGGTGAAAAGCGTTTATAGCACTTTTTAATGACTCCTTAATAACCGTTGTGTAAGTACTCACAATATTCACATATTAAAATTAGTTTAACAATTGTCGTGGTACGCCAAAATAATTACTTGTACAGTTTTTATTAATTTAATTTATTTGTGCACATTGAAAAAATATGTAATTATGCCATAATTCACATTCTGTGATCATGGAGGAGAAGTAGTAACAAGCATCTGTTTAATCTTTGATTGATATTCTTTCAATTCATCTCTCTAATCATTAATTGAGAGAATTTCTCTAGAAATGTTATCGTTGATTATATGATATATGTCTTAAATTAATGATTGCATTTATTAATAACACCTATATATAATTTACCTCTACTCCACCGAGGGTCTCTCGAAGCAAGATTTGAACTCATGATCCCGGATTGCCAGCCGCTTCTGTTTCCATCTGCTCTATTCTTGAATACATATTTTGATCATATGAGAGAAGTATATTAAGCTCATCTTGAGTGACTTCTCTTGCAGTCGAATAATCATTGCCTTATGGTCATATAAACGTGCCTATCACTTGTGCTATTTTTAGCAACAAAATTGTGGTTGGTGGTTGGTCGAACGTAAACAATCATTTAAGAGTGCTCCAACAGCTTTTAGAACTTTTAATCAAATGGATATACAACTACATTCTTGTTCAACTCTGGAAGCTATTATTCAACGTTTGATCAACTCAGGTGTTGTATAAGAGCTCCCAATGGTTTGTTTTGATGCGTTTATTCCACATCCTATACGGCTTCTGTCAAACAGTTTAACCGAACGTAAACAATCATTTAAGAGTGCTCCAAGCAGTTTTTGAAGCTTCTAACCAAAAAGGCAATACAACTACATTCTTGTTCAACTCTGGAAGCTATTATTCAACGTTTGATCAACGCAGGTGTTGTATAAGAGCTCCCAATGGTTTGTTTTGATGCGTTTATTCCACATCCTATACGGCTTCTGTCAAACAGTTTAACCGAACGTAAACAATCATTTAAGAGTGCTCCAAGCAGTTTTTGAAGCTTCTAACCAAAAAGGCAATACAACTACATTCTTGTTCAACTCTGGAAGCTATTATTCAACGTTTGATCAACGCAGGTGTTGTATAAGAGCTCCCAATGGTTTGTTTTGATGCGTTTATTCCACGTTCTATATAGCTCTTGTCAATCGGTTTAACTAAGGTGCTATAAAAGTTATCGTAGGTCTTATAAAGCATATAGGTAAACCGAACGTAAAAAATTATTTAAGAGTGCTCCAACAGCTTTTATAACTTTTAATCAAATGGCAATACAACTACATTCTTGTTCAACTCTGGAAGCTATTATTCAACGTTTGATCAACTCAGGTGTTTTATAAGAGCTCTCAATTGTTTGTTGGGGTAAGCTCAACGGCATTTATTTCTAAAAGCGCGTCTCCAGACAGTGATGAACGAAGGTACGTGAATTTGTCCATGTCAGTGAGATCACGGTTCTGGTGAATCAAGCTCTGGAATGCATCACGATATGAAACCCAATCGCGCAACTTGCCGGAGAATGTCGGCAGTTTAATCTCCGGAAGCTTGACCTTCGAAAGAATGGGTCCAGAAACCGGTATTGATGGTGCAGGATTTGCCGATAACATTTTCTGCCGCCATTTCACTAACGCAGCCTTGGTCTTGCAGTAGCTATTCTCGACGTGCTTCGTAATAGCTTCGCTTTCATCTTCCCTCTTCTTCGACGCACTTTCAAGCACTTCAAAATATTCAATGAATGCACTCTCTAACAGCTGCAAACGAAGTTCAACCTCATCTTTATCACGCTCTTCGTTGTAAACTTGCACGAAACTGGCTACAGAGTTTATACTGTTCAGTATGCGCTTCTGTCTCTTCAGCAAACTTCTTAAATCACTCGCCATGATTCGGGTATCACTACTGAAATCACTGAGTCACTAGTAAGTACACACTGCACAAATAAGTTCGTTTGCACTGTCCACTTTCACCACACTTTCCTCTATCGCACTGATCTACACTGCTAACTGCGAATCGACTCGACGTTCCATGCACCACCCAAGATTGACTACAGCGAAAGGGAATTCAACCAGCGGAAATCAAGCCAACCAGAACTACCAGCAAAGTCCTAGACCAATTCTGAATGCGAACGAACCACAGGGACCAGATCCACTAAATCAAAAGCACAATGTCGCATGCAAAAATTTAGATTTTATTGCAATTAACCTTCACAAAAATTTGCAAAAATTTTTATTGATGGCACTCGTCATGCATCGAGCCACCACAGACCACACATGCACTGTACTTATCTGACTCCAATTAATATCGATCAGCGCTGCTTTCGTCGTCGATCTCGCTCATCCGTCGAAGTCCGCTCCGTCTCCGCTTGCCAACAGGAACCACTATCGATCCACTAGTTCAGCAGCAATCCGCCATTCTACATTCACCTCGAATGTTTTACTATTGGGTACTATACGTGACCCAAAGCACTTGCGCGATGGCGAAATTTCAATTCGCGCTTTTGTCCCGCACTGTACAAATTTATGTTCACGCACATAAGAGTGATCGCGTATTAGGGTGGTTCTCGCAACATAAATGCAAGCTATAATAATTATACGTTTGGTGCGATCAGTTATTTTTCTTAACGAAGTGTTATGGGTATAATCCAAACCATGTGTGGAATAGTTTAATCATTTAGGGTTGATGTATATATTATGTCACGCTATAGGGGGGGGAGGGCTAATATTTTGTGACAAGCAATGCATTAGGTAAAGGAAAATCATTACGATAGGGGGGGGGGGGGGATTTCTCCTCGATTTAGCGTGACATAATTAATGCATGGGCCTTTACGCTATTTTTATTAGGGTAACGTTTCCTATGACTTTGACAGATAATCGTCTAAAATTAATTAAATACTTAAATACCGACAAAATTTGATACTTAATATTTTTAAATACATTTAAATAATTTGTCATTACATTAATTATCGTTAATTATATGTTGATTACTTTCGATACCCTTAAAAGTATTGAAAATCAAATAATTACTGTCCTCAAAGTATTTAAATTACTACGATGTATTTTAAATATCACGCACTCATACCTGGTAGTGAGCGCCCCTCGATCCAGGCTCTTTAGGTAACACCTTTGTGCTGGATCTTTATTCATTTTCAAATAAGAAGAATATTGAATTTGTGATAGTTGTGTTGTAGAAAATAAGTAAGATAGCTTCAAACCAAAGTTAAAATGATGAAGGATTAAATAAAGCGCGAAAAACTTCTCAAACACCATCCTGTGATTAAACGTAAGTAGAAGGGAAGAAGAATATGACAAGCGAAAAAGAAAGACTGTTCTAGGTTTTCCCCCATCATAAGTAGCACACAAGGGTAGGTTTGAAGCAGATCCGCCCCGTACCTTCTCCCTGCGTGTTTCCGTAGATCGACGTAAATAAATTATAAACTTCATCCCGACTGCCGACTACCGAGTATGAATAGAAAATCACGATAGCAAAGTGCCAAGGGTAGAATATTTTCCGTTCAGTGGTAAAAGGCAACAGATGGCTTAATGGATTTTCATGATGGTGTTAACTTTGTCGCCTTGCATCAATAACGGAGGATGGCAAAGGTCACAAAGATAAAAAAAATCCGGCGGAAAAGGTTGATTCATTCCAGAAATTCTCGGCAGCCCATTCCACTTCATTGATCTTCCCAACTATTTATTAGTACAACTATCCCTGTTCGTATGCTGCCGGCAATGTATATGTATGTTTGTGATCGATTCATCGAGTACCGACCGAACGAACCGGGGACAAGTTTCTGACCACAGCCTCAGAAACCGGATGCTGGTTTTGATTTGGTTTAAACTTTATCTTCCGCAAACTGAAACTGCATCGGACATATTCAAATAATTTCTAATTCTGCTGCTACTGATGATACTGGTTGTGACCACACAACTTTCCGGTACCGGATGAAAGGACTTTCACTCTTCAGGGGGTCAGAGCAGGAATGTGGATGCTGCTTCATCGTATATCAACTTGCACATCCGATGCGAACGTAACTAGACCATGCGGGGGTGTGTGGTGTACTTTCTAGGTTTTCTTTAATCAGCATTCATTTATCAGCACAAGGATATTTTGATTTCCTGAAAAACTTTGGAATATGAATGGAATTTTTGCTACAATGTGTCTGATGAATTGATGGATGGTCAAACCGACGAATCCCGCGAATTAGAACCGTCATGAAGCCTCAGGCTGAAGGCCTCCCTAATAAAGAAAACATAGACTTAAGTTGCTGAACATTTACTGTCACTATTATTGATCCCATTGCTCAAATATCTATGAAGCAAAATAGTAATCAAACTTTATTCCGCTGCTTTCGCGGCGCAGTAGAAAAGGAAACAGCAGGAGCGAATTTTCCGCAACAAAATTAAACTTGCTTCATGATGATTGCATCCAGCAGATCGTAGCTGAGTTGATACTTCCGGCCGTAATTCCGCCGATGGCGCTGCCAGTTGCGACGTACTTTGGTCCAGCGGGCTTTGTGATGTTTGAGCAACGCTTCGCTCCTGGCGGCTGATCCCTCCAAATCGTCCAATTTTGGATCGGAATTATCTTTCGGGAAGGGCTTTTCCAGCAGAAACGGATGTGTGTCGGTCTCGCTCGGTTTGGGCATGTTCGCAATTTCGTCTATCTCCTTCCGATTGAACCGTTCGACGATATCCGGCATCGATTGGCGGGATGATTCCGCTCCCAGTGGTTGATGTTTTTCGTTGCTGTTGCATGTCGGATCCGATCTCGTTCTCGGTTTGTTAAGCATCCAAGCCCGGCACACGGGATAGAGTGGACTGTCTCCTTCGAATCTAGCCAAATCAACGCTCCGATCGAAGAGTTTCATGATAAACGAAGAACCTTGCTGGTGGCGGAGACCCACCGAGAGCTGTTCCATTTTGAGCCGCTTCGGCGGTCGTCCACGGAGTGGCAGAGACGGATCGATAGGTGCGGGAGCTGGACATGTCACTGTTAGTGGTGGTATTTGCCGAGTCATTTGTCTCGTCATAACCGGTAGAAGCTGTGTGGCGGTTCGATTGACCTTCAGGAGGCTCTCTTGAGTGGGAAAATAATTGTATCTGTTGATTTTGAAATGATCTGATATAACCGCACGTATACTTACGACGCCCGGGGAACCGTGGTTGGGACATATTTTTATTAAATATAAATTTTGTAGAGACCTGACATTCGACTTGTATTCCTTGTTGGCAAACCGTCAAACCGATTTCAAAACAAATCGATGATAGTGATCATACATAGAGAGGTAAAGCAGATCGTGAAATTTGGTTGTATTAGTAATCCAAACAATAACGTAAACGCAATTAGTGACGTCGTAGATGTATCGTACAGGGGTTTTACTCACACAACTTAACCGACTGCTTCACCTCGGTAATCAAATTCATTGGATAGGGACAGCGGTGCCAGATATACAGATATTCAAGCATAACTTTTCAAAAGGACGTATGTAACATTGATGTCTCAAGATGCACACACTCGAAAATAATTTTGTTTATTTTATGTTAAATTTCAGGAGCCAATTGGCAAAAATCTTTACATAATCTGTATTAAGTTTCAAATATCTGTATTATATGTCTGTAGTCTGTATTGGGTCTGTGCGAGACTTCAAAAATCTGTATAAATACAGACATATCAAGCATAACTTTTCAAAAGGACGTAAGTCTCATAAATAAACAAATCGATATTTTGCATCTAAACGAATATAAAATACATGCTTTTCCTACGAGTTGATGAAAAACAAGGTTTGAAATTGTAATGCATTATGGAAAATATATTTAATGAACGCCCTATGTGGCCTGCTTTCATTGTTTTTAAAATGGTGTTGATACACCCTTTTATTGTCAACATGACTTAACTGTTAAAATTTAATGATAACACCAAAACTGCAGATACGCTCACAGTGAAGCGTCGTATGTGAAAAAAAAACAAAGCAACCACTCAATCAGCAGATGCGTCAAGTTATTTCTAAGTAGATACAAAATGGATTTCAACGGGATTCAGCTACTGCTAGGTATGTTTTATTAAATATTCTTGACTAAAACATAAATATTATAATTTTTTTTAGATGTAGCCACCCAGCTTGATGATTTAGAACAGTTTTCATCTGCACATATTCCCAGCGTGGGATATTTCGAGGAAGTGGAAACAGTTCCGCAAGAAGGATTGCCTCCAATCCTAGATCTAAACGTTCACGATGATGCTTCTCCTCGTCAGAATAATAACAACGCTTTACGACAATCGGTTGATGATATCCGAGCCGCTTTACACGATGAAGTCTTTGTTTGAATCCAACAAAAGGCGCTGTGATATGTTTGTTTTTGTATTTCCAGGAGCAACATGTTCATTATTTCAAAAGTATTCTAATAAAATTGCACTTAAATCTTGACTTTATTATTGAACTTCACATACCATTCTGACCAGGGCTTTCCTTATACGAAAAACACAAATCTGACAGCAGATAATGCGATGACCCTCTCATCTCCGCTGTTAACATCAATTATTTCACAACTCTGGCTAGTTATGTAAATAAACCAACCATCCGACAATTCCTCAATGTTTTTCGAGCTACCGACGTATCTTCACTGCAAAGCAAAAACCGGTGTATCTGATTTGACGTATGTGAAAACCCTTCTGTCAAATTGACGAATCATGCAGGGTGTATGTAACAATCAAGGTGTGATACCGACGAATCAATCAGGGTGTATGTGAGTAGTACACAAGTAAAAGGTGTATGATTTTGTTTTATCAAAAGTCTTGTCCGTGTTTGCACAACTTAACATTTTTCACAATTCTCTTAAACGCAATCTCCTTATCCAACTAATAGCACAAACAGATTTAATAAAATAGCATTAACTTTTAAATAGGATTTAATAATTTCATATAGACATTGCTATCCAATGTTTCTAATTTCATATCAAATGTTACATACGTCCTTTTGAAAAGTTATGCTTGAAATTTTATTCATTTCAGTGTTCACTCGGCTGTGTGCTACGTGATCGTCTGTTTTCTCGACAGCAACCATTGTGTGGTCCTCCTCATTGTTCTTCATCAGCAGTTCTATCGGTCGATGCGTCGTCGATTTTGGAAAGCAACCGTTTCGTGATGAGTGTGTGAGTGCTGACCACGTTTTGTGTCCATTGCTGCAATGGACGCGCTCTGACCCTCGTTGGCATACAACAATTTGCCATACAATGAAACTACTGGAAGCGGCTTCAGTTCTAACGGAGGAGGCTTTTTGGATAGCGGAAGATAAAGTGTTTATTGTGTTGTACCTATTGACTATAGTTTTAAGATGTATTGTATACCCGAATAGAAATTTACATTAGCCCAACGTTTGATTTTGATGTCTACATCAGCATCGAAATCAAATGTATGCCTGATGTCAAACATTAGAAAACATTATGATTTAGTTGTATTTAAGCAACGTAACATGGTGTATACATCAGAAATTTTGGAACAAAATTTTGCCATTCTAATGTCGGTCTGACGTCAAAAATTTCAATCTATTGACATTAGAATCAAACGTTTTAAGGATGTTTTCAGATGTAAAAAACGTTAGAACTAAACGTTGTTCGGATGTTTTTAAATGTAAACGTTTTCTGATGTTTTCTAATGTAGATGTTTCCTGATGTTAGAACCAAACGTTTTTGGATGTTTTCGGATGTACATAACGTTAGAACTAAACGTTGTTCGGATGTTTTTATATGTAAATGTATTCTGATGTTTTCTAATGTAGATGTTTCCTGATGTTAGAATCAAACGTTTTTCGGTTGTTTTCGGATGTAAAAAACGTTAGAACTAAACGTTGTTCGGATGTCTTTATATGTAAATGTATTCTGATGTTTTCTAACGTAGATGTTTCCCAATGCTAGAACCAAACATTTTTTGGATGTTTTCGGATGTACATAACGTTAGAACTAAACGTTGTTCGGATGTTTTCAATTGTACTTCGTGTTTGTTGTTCTCTGATGTTTTCAGATGTACAAAACGTTTAAAGTAAACGTTGTTTGAATGTTTTCAAATGTAGATGTTTACTAATGTTTTTAGATATACAAAACACTAGAATCTTACTTTTCAAATGCTTTCAATTATATTTACAACACATTAGAATTAGAAACATGATCGTGTAAACACTACACACCATTGTTGTTAGATAACATCATAAAAATGCGTACATAATAGTCAATGCTGAAGCTCCCGTTTCCCACCAGTCAGATAACTGACCTTAGCTAACCAAATATCATTGCGGCAACTCTCTATGCGGCAGGGGAACTATGCCATTAGCGCGCTAAGAGTTATTAGACCACTGACATAGGCGCCAATTTGTAGGTGACGAGGCACTTGGTGACATTACAGCGAGCTTGACGATTGTTGTAGCATTTTTTTAGCAAACTACCAGTTAAGGTGTGTAGTGTTTACAAGATCATGTTTCTAGCTCTAATGCTTTGTACAATTGAAAGCATTGGAAAAGTTAATTCTCATGTTTTGCATAACCGAAACCATCAGAAAACATAAAATAGTACAAAAAAAAAACATCCATTCTGGTAGACTATCTCTTAAATGCATACAGAATAGCCATTGCTTAAGCTCCCGTTTCCCACCAGTCAGTTAACTGACCTTAGCTAACCTAATATCATTGTGGCAACTCTCTATGCGGCAGGGGAACTATGCCATTAGCGCGCCAAGAGTTGTTAGACCACTGACATAGGCGCCTATTCGTGGGTGACGAGGCACTTGGTGACATTACAGCGAGCTTGGCGATTTTTATAGCATTTTTGAGTGAACTACCAGACAATCATGACAATAAGATCGCTGCGCCTCCAGATCTCCCTTTAAATCGACCCGCTGTGCCAATTTGTCAATAATGCATGACACTTTGGACGTGGATCGGGATGATCCACAAATGCGGAAAGTTTTGGGCTACCAGTCTTCTACCTAATTGACGAACTGCAAATATATAATAAACAAAATTATTGTGCATGAAAAATATGACAATGTACAATGCTCGAGGAACACTGGGAGTTTTCGAACGACGCGTGCTTAGGAATGCCGGACAACAATCCCGCAAAAATGGTGTTTTCCTCAAATCCGGCCGGTACAAGACAAAGAAAAGTACAGCGTGCTAGGTGGTTAGACCAAGTGGAGCAAGATGTAGGAAGTGTGGGATGCTCGAGAAATTGGAGACAAGCAGTCAGGGACCGAGTTAGTTGGCGCAACTTTGTTATACAGGTCAAATCTTGAGGGACGTCGGACCAGCAAAAGTAAAGTAAGTATCTTATACGTTTGCCAACATTCCACGACAATATATGATTAGGTTTTCACTTGGTATGTAATGAACAACAGAGATACGCGATAATTCGTATAGTTTCTGCGATTGATGGTTAATTTTAAATGTACGTATAGTACTACCCTAATAAAAATTGTATGGTTAATTTGCTTAACCACGTGTTCTGGGTATCATCCAAACCATTTGTGGAATAGTTCAATGATTTGGGTTGTCGTTCGTTTATGGTTATTTTTTATTAGGGTATATAACAGCATAACTGGATCGTCATGTTCACCATCTGTCATTGTCTGCAAAAATATTTAATAGCAGTTACCTGTGTTGTGATACTTCCTTCAATGAAAACTAATTTTCTTGCATTGCCATGGTCATCTGGGATGAGGCTGGTCCACTGATCATTCGGAATGAGCTCTCCACACATCATTGAATCAATGTAGGATCAATGTAGATATGTAGATATCAATGTACATAGATGGTGTCATATGCAAAGTGCGAAAAGAGAATGAAAGAAATACGAAAAAGATTAGCATCAAGAAGTAACAGTTTCATCGGATTAGTCACCAAGTCCCCCACCACTGCTATCTGCAGCCCTATCACTCCCATCCCCACGATTGCGGAAGAGAATAATAAAGTTCTTGATTTAATTTAAAGAAATTAATATTTAATATCGGGATCCGTATTCGGTTTCCCCATCGGGATCCGTATTCGGTTTCCTCATCGGGATTCGTATTCGGTTTCCCCATCGGAATCCCTATTGGGATGCGTATTCGGTTTCCCAATCGGGATCCGTATTCGGTTTCCCCATCGGGATCCGTATTCGGTTTGCCCATCGGGATCCGTATTCGGTTTCCCCATCGGGATTCGTATTCGGTTTCCCCATCGGGCTCCGTATTCGGTATCC